ACACACACACACACACACACACACAAGAATAACCGCATAGAAGAACATGAAACTACAATGAAAACAAAGTAGTAATGAAATGCCATACAAAAGTCATGCCGAAGTGCCGGCGAAGTCGCATATAGGAGTCCAATATGAAATACATGTCGCATGGTACAATGTGTCGTTGACACTCGTGCCGAGTCGTAAGGGGCCGTACAGCGATGGGATGCAGCCTACACGGCTAACTAACAAAGCTGAAAAGAAAACCCTAACAAACATCTACGTAATACGACAAGTCAAAATGAAGTCCCACCTCTAACAAAAACCCAATAAGTGGCAATAACTAAAAAACAATATGAAAACGCCGTACATAAACCGAAAAACGAAACAAACAAACACTCTCGACGACACTACCTGCATGCTGAAGTCCATGGACTGGTCCGAAGTCCCTAAAACCTAACTATATGTACATCATCCTAAACAATATACAAAAACGTCAGAACACCGAGCACAAACAACATAAAGGCGTCGTGGAAGGGGAACGAAGTTGTCAGTACCGTCGACTTCCCTTCCCCTTACCACTGCCTCTCTGCCTCGCCCCACTCGTGCTGCGTGTCGATGAGACACTCCCTCGCCCCGGCACTGTCGCAACGGATGACCCTCGCCTCCTCCAACTCCTCGTCTCCCGCCGCCCTGGAGGGGACGGGTCGTCGACGTCATCGTGTCGTCTACGAGAGCCACGTCGTCTACGAGAACCATGCCACGCTGGAGGGGAGGGCTCGTCGTCGTCGTTGTGGTAGTTGTCATCATCCCCATTGTCGCTCTCCTCCTCATCACGCTCCTCGTCGTCCCTGTACTCGTCACCCTCCTGTGCGGCCTCCTCACATGCAGGCTCTGTCTCGGGATCGTCCTCCACCACGGCCACAGGGTCAGCCCCCGTCCTCACCCGAACAAGCCTAGCACTCACCTGAGTCACCTCTGCGACTGTCTTCTCACGACGAGAACCGCGCGGCATCCCCAACCCCTCGGCTTCAGAAGACTCCCCCAATGCGGCACCCCCCGTGGCAGGCATGGGACGCGGACGAGCTACTCCGCTCGTGCACGAAGTCTGGTCACGCACAACACGTGTTGCTGCTGCCAAAGCGGCCTGCACGGTACACCCGGCCTGTCCAACCCCACAAACATCTCGCGGCTGAGATACTGCCGCCATGACCTCCCTCGGCGTACCCCTCCCGGTGTCTGCCCAACCCAAACCTGACTGCTGTCGTGCAGTGTGCACTGTGATCCGACGCATGGACTCCAGGTCGATATCCGTCCTCCCGAATAGCGACGTGTCAAGAGGGAGGCTCCCTACGGTCGTCATGTCACGAACCCTGGGTCTGGTGGGGCGTGGATGGTGAACGGGGGGGGCGACCGACTGGTGTCGAGGGGGAATCAATGTGACGTGATCTCGGAGGAGGAGGCGACATAAGTGGTCTGCTAGGGTCGGTGTCCTCCTGCCGTGTCACGTCACTCACAGCAGCCTGTGCGAGCTCCGCGAAATCCAATGGCCGAGTTGTAGCCTGAGGAGCTCGCCACCCAGTAACCGGTGTATGAAGCATTGGCTCAGATCCTAAATCCACGACTATGAGCGGTGGTACCTAAACAAATGCCACCTCCCCAGGATCTGACCCCTGCACACACGGTCGAACTGGCCGCATCGTCCTCGTCATCCGCATGCCCGTGAATGGTACCAATGAACTGCTACCTCTGGGGATATCTGCAGCGGGTGCATCCTCACGCTCCGCCTGTGGCTGCTCTACTACCTCCTCGCACCCCTGCTGAAGCGTGTCTGTCTCTCTCCCGGAGCATCCTGCAAATGCCTGCTCGATCTCCTCTGTGGAGTACCCAGCGGCCGCTAGGGAACGCACCACATCCTCTCTGTCTGCGTGACTAGGGCTAGGAGGATCCCCCACAGACATGTCCATGAAATCCCCCATCCCCAGCCCTGACGCCCTCCTCTGTCCTGATGGCGACGCCCCCAGTGCCCTCCTCGTGCCCGCGGTTAACCCCGCTAGTGCGGGACCTATCTCGTCATCGCCGAAACGCTGGACGATCGGGTCAAGGTCGTCGCCTCCCTCTCCTCTACCATGGGCGACGTCCCCCCCTACCACACCCTCCTCTCCCCCAACCAACGCAGCAGCATCTGCCCTCACCACATCCTCCTCCATCTCAACCTGGGCATCACCATCATCTACCCCTACCACGCCCTCCTCTCTCTCAACCTGCGTCCTCGCCACGTCGCGCTCCCTCTCAACCTCCGATGGCAGCACACCCTCCACTCCCTCAACCTGCTCACCATCATCAACCCTCGCCATGGCCTCCTCTCTCTCGACGTGCGCACCATCATCTACCTCCACCACGCCCCCCACTGCTCCAGCTACCTCGTCCTCCATACCCCGAATACCCTCAACTCCGCCCGCTCCGGCGGCTCCGTGCTCCTCCGCTTGTCTCTCCCTCTCCTCCACCGGTGGTGCCCCGCTATTAACACCCTTCTCCCCCAAGTCGCTCGATGCACGCGGGTCCAAAACAAGCTGACGGCCTACGCTAAACAATGATCCATGCCCGCGGATGCGCAACGAGGATCTCAAGTCCTCCCTCCCAACCGGTGCAGGTGAGCGCTCGTCATGCCGAACGGGAGCGGTCGGAGCGGATGCTGGGATAGAATGACGCGAAAGAGGCGACTGCGACGAGGGTGCGGACTGAGTCGCGGGAATACTCGTCTGCTCTCTCGTGGTCGTGGGAGCAGGCGTCTGCTCCTGCACGGTCGACGAAACAGTCGTCCGCTCCCGCGTTGTCGTGGTAGGACCCGGCTCCTCACTCGCAGTCATGGGAGCAAGCGTCTCCTCCCGCAAGGTCGTGCAAGGACGTGTATCCTCCCGCTCGGTAGTGGGTGATCTCTCCTTCGTGCCCCGAAAGATCCCCAGAGCTCCTCGCCCCCCATCATATCCATGTCTCGCTGCTCTGCCACCCTCCGCGCGGTGTGCGTCCTCTCGTCACGCACGTCGCCCTCCTCGTGCAACTCATCAATCTCACGTTGGATGGAAAGCATGGGGTCGTCCGCTGCTTCTGACTCCCTCTCGTCCGCAGAGTCATCGTCCCTGGGGTATGGGCGGAAGATAGTCACACGAGCACTGAAAACAGACTCAACAGGGGGCGGCGCAGAAGACCCAATGGGATCGCACGCAATGAGGGCAGCCTGCTCCTCGATCTCCTCCTCCGTCATCCCACTCCTCGTCCCCGAGCGCACAAGCTCCACGTCTCATCCCGCCTGAGCGTCAAGCATGCCCTCGTCTCGCTGCCAAGAGAGGACGTATCCACAACCTGCACGTCTATACTCCATCAACCGCACATTTGCGGTGATCTCAACAAGATGAATGACCTTCTCGAAGGCCAACTGATTACGCTTCTTCGTATGGATGCCCTCGTGGACCGCCCAGTTCCTCTCCGCTGGAGAGGCGCAAGACCACATGTGCATCAAACGAAGAGCGCAATGCTGTAAATCAGGCTCGTCTCCCCCGTACTGAGACCACCACGACGCACACTCCAACGTCTCACAGTCTCCGCTGCAACTACGTGCTCGAGCGCGGCCTTCTGCCCCGCCCCATGTCCCATACCTACCCTGCTGCATGTGAAAGTCCTCGAACTGCCGACATACCTCAAGGTAATGACCACCCGACTCGTCATGGCCCGTCTAAGACAACAGATACCTCTTGGCTTGTCGAACAAGCCAAGTGTGGTACCGGTCGAGCTGCGCGGAGAAGTACTGAACATCCCGGCGACGGGGGTTCAGTAAGAACGCGGCGCAGTGTGCGGGCTCCATCATGTGCTGTATACGGGCCTGCATACGCCTCATGACAAGGTCAAAAAAAGACTGGCCAAGAGGAATGCAAGCGTCCCGTACAAGGCGTGCAAGATCCCGAGTCCACTCTACAATGAGGGACATGAATTGCCCGCCACGGTCCATCCGCCTCAGCAAGTCCATGACAGGATCCATGATGTGCTTGATGGCACGCATCCTCTCCCACCAAGGGGACCACCTGATCTGTCGGCGCACCGAACGCGCCATGTCGCGAACGTCGTGGGACCACGGGATCCTAGCCCAAGCCCGACCGTCCTCCCCTGTCATTATGCCCTGCAAACGATCCTGCAGAGCAAGTAGCCTCTCATACCTGGAGTACACGGACGCAAAGTGCGTCTCGCATGAAAGCACGAGCCCCAACGCCTCACTCCGCTTCCGAAAGAAGCTGAGAGCGGTCTGGTGGGTTTTAAAAAACACTACCAGAACTCGGGCACACGTGATCGTATCCACGAAAGAGGTGCAGATCGTTCCAATGTTTGACAACCACTTGTTGCAGACATGGACGCAGCACGGGAGCCAAGTAATCCTCCTCAGCTCAGGGGGCATAGATGGCGAGGCCAAAGCCCTCGCAGCCCCCACGTATGCAGAGGCGGAGTCAGTGCATATAGCATTGACCCGCTGTGGGCCACCGAATCTGAAACCGTTGAAGATGGCAACCCAATTCTGCAGGACGTGCACCGCATCGTCCGGCTCCCCCTCTCGGTTGATCGTCGTGTACATGACGACCCCTCAAGACCCAGCTGAGAGGACGTTCACGATCGGTCGCCCGTCTCGTGACTTCCTCCCGTCAGAGAGGAGGGTGGCACCACTCACCCATAATGGCTGCCTAACCGCCTCCAACTCCTCCGCCAACTCCTCGCGGTGGATCTCCACAGCTCGCATGCTTGCGATCTCGCTGTGGGATGGAAGCACGGGAAGAGGTGCTCCACCAGGTTGCCGAAGAGCAACCTGCTGGAGGTCCCGGTACGGCGTGTTGCGGAAGGCATTGAAGGCAATCCCGCTGGAATACACCCAACGAAAGAATGCCTTCCTCCACTGACCAATCCACTCGCCACCATACGTGTCCGTCATTTTCTGCTGCCGCAGCCACTTCCCTGCATTGGTGGCAGAAGCATGTGCACCCCCCTCCTTCCTCTTCGAAGAACCCGGCGTGCATGCTTTATCAGGAACAACATTCTTTGAAAAACTCGGCGTGCATGTCATCTCAGGCGGGACGGGCTTCGTCTCGCACTTACACTCCTTGTCCACCGCCCTCTGACGAGCCATCGGATCGGACTTCGGCATGCCCCCGTCTCCCCTTGGTGTCCGCTCTCCCTCAGCTAACCCATCGCACCAGACCGCGGGACATCGAGACCACGCTCGTGTGCAAACCGCCGCACCCTCTCTACCTGATCGGCCTCGAAGTGGTGTGTGTATTTTTGCGCAATCTGGTACAATCCATCATCGGACACCTTCTTGCAATAATTCTGCTGGGTGAAGTGTTTCGTTGCGTAGAATTGGGTTCCCTGAAACACCTTATTGCAGAAGGTGCACCGTAGCATATTAACCCCCCTGTTGTCGACCTTCTGGCCGACAACAATGTAACGGTTCACAACAGATTTGCGCCTATAATCCTGCTGCACATGTTCGGGCGCGAAATCATGTTCGCGCATTTGTTTTCACGGCATTGTGAACCCCCCTAAAAGCGGCGCCCGTCTGGTCGTAAGCGCCTCCCCTCCGAGTCCGACACCTCGTACCCAGCGGCGCCACAGAGAAGGCCGTATCCCCGGCCTGCCCTGTCCCAACCAGGTAACACCTGCATTGTTTCTCCCACTTTCAAGCCTGCGCTCGATGTCGTCGCACCAAACCCACACCTCCCCCCCCCCCCCCCCCCCCCCCCCGAACACCCCCCCCCCCCCCCCCTCGGAAAACCCGTTCA